TCGTGAACGAACTTCGACCTGGAGGCGAGTTAGCGTAGCGAACGAGCTAACCTGAAGGCAAGTGAGCGCAGCGAACGAGCTCCAACCTAAAGGTGAGTGAGCGTAGCGAACGAACTTCAACCAGTACGTGAATGAGCCATGCGAATACTTATGAAGTTAAACGGGCCGAAGCCCGCGGGTACAGCTAGTAAGAAATACATTGGGATTTTGATGGCCTATGAGGCAAAGCCCTAGAACTTTTATTACCGGAATTGGTGAAAGGGGGCATCTACACAACAAATACTTAATTTTGACACCTCGTTTGTAAAAATCCGTCCATTATTAACGGAGGAGTAGTGTTTTGTAGAAATCGCCTTCACGTATTATATATAAGGATTATCTAAGATTCTTAACCCACACGAGACGAATTATTCTATCATAATGAAAATCTGGATGTAGGCTAAGTGTGTTTATAATTGCATTTTTTTGTATGACCCATTATGAAATTAATACCATCAAATTATAACTATACAAAGATTATTTGAGAATTTTTTAACAATTTTAAAGCGGTGCATTTAAAAAAAAATGTAAATTAATTTTTTAATTTGAAATTTGAAAAAGTTTTTTATTGTTATCTCTATGGTGTTGTATATATTTTTAAAAAGGGCTTATTAAATGCAGCATAATTACACCACTCTCATCTTCCTAGCTTGATTTTGAGAGATGCTAGATTAGTTTAAAATCTCATCAACAGGTTGTTTTTTAAGCATTTTTTGTATAGTTAAACAAGCCGTAATTTTGAAAATAGTTGAGATATCAAGTAAAATTTTTGTATTTTTCTTAATGGCTATAGGGCGTACTAGTATACCAAATTCAATCAAAATCTAAGATGGTCAGGTAAAATTTTGATTTAAATTGTGTTTCACTCAAGCCTGAAATCAACAAATCACAAACCATAAATGTCATATTCACTAAACTGTTAATAAAGAACATGAGCTACCATCCAAAGAAACGTCAATTTAATCTGCAATACCTACATACAACTTTCTGAAGCATAACAACGTGTATAAATCAACATTTGACCTGGTAAAACTTAGAAAAAGATTGTTATTAATTAGCACTATTCACCATGATAGGCCTTCATGGGTCTTGAACCATTATTTAATATTTTTTTTTAGTTTAAAATTGTTAGCTGGCCAAAAAACAGCAAAATCTGGTTTAATGGCAAGGTTTTATTTTCATCATTTTCAGTTTTCCTACAGAAAAAACATTTCAGATATTCATTTTTGAATAATAATTTAAGTGTTGAATTGTGCGAGCATTATTTCAATTAAAATATTTATATCTAAGGGGAAATCGTCACAGTAGGATATATAGTCTTTTGTAATGGGAGATTGCATATATATAGGCAGCAGTGGCTTCTACCAGTTTAAAGTGGGAAAGCCGGATTCGCCACATGGCTATAAAATGATATAAATATATTACTATAATGGCTATGCTGTTGGTACAAAACGTTTCGTTTTTCAGCAATAAATCCTAGTTCATTAGTACGAGTGAGCCATAGCTTGGGTCCCGTTTTAATGTAATAAGCAAATGTTAAGTTTATAACATTATTTATCTGATATTTTGCTATATGATCTTGTCACAACTAATTTAGGTAGGGTCCATAATCAAGTCTTCGAAAAAAAAAAAAACTGCAAAGAATTGTGTTAAGCTATACATTCAATTCATGTTACTCAAACACAAGTTGATCACACAATATTGCATACTCAAGTGACATGAGCATTTTATTCTTCCAACAAACTTTTATCCTAGAAAAGTAATGCTTAAATCAAGCCCACAATGTTTCTCAAGATTATATATTTAAGAGCTGAAAAATATTCACTTCGTAAGTAAACCAAAACGATCTATCATGTGAACTTGTGTAATGAGCAGTTGACCTAATAGGTATTTGATAAAGTTAGACAAACGAGATAGTATTTGATATGACATTGACATATCTAAGATGATGATACTCACACTTGACAGTATTTGCACACAAGTTACACAATATGTAGTAAAACTCATAAGAAGTTAATAAGTTGTGTAACATAATTTTGTTGTTTCTCCATTTTCATTATGGAGGGTTCATAAAATCTTATGGCCTATAATTAATTCTTAATTTACTTACCGCACTTTACAACAAAATGAAATTTTATGCAGTATTAAAAGTGATTCAAGCCAAAGATTGTGAGAAATTGTGACGTTCTCACTGTTTTATATATGCTCATTAACAAGCAAACAACAACAGTTTGCTAAAGTTTGTGTGTTTGTTTGTTTGTTTGAAGTTTAATCACGCATTAACTACTGGATGGATTGGGCTGAAATTTGGCATGATGATAGCTCACATTCCCGATTAACATATAGGCATATTATTATCTCAAAAATCCTTTCGGGCTCTACCCCAGTGGCTCTGTAGTTCCCCATGTTAACCTAATGAGTACTCATATTTAAAGGGAATTAAATAATTTAGTCAGCGGTTTCAACTAAAAAAGTTGGTTCTATGATATGCAAAAGCATTAAAATTATAAGATTTACCAACAGGGTGCAGCACTATTATTTTTTTTGCATTTATGAAAACAGCTAGGCCTAATTTGAACTAAGCAGCAACAAAAAAATGTGATACACAATGAGAACTGTCAAAGTAGGATTGTTTACAGTTCTGTTTATGTTTTTAATTTCATAAATAATTTGTGATATTTTGTGAATTTTTAATCATTTATTTTATTCTATTGTTTAGGTGAAGTGGTAGAACATTATGGCTATGGTAGATGTGTAATACTATATAGTATTCCGTAAATTTAAAGAAGCAGCAAATTTTATCAAACTGTGTCCTCCCCCATTGCAACGCAAAGCTTGAGTATAACTGCAATAAGAATTTTATACTTATATGGCAACCCCGTACAAAGGACGGGTAGTCTGCTAGTTCTCCATAAGAATAACATGAGAATTTTAAATTTAAATTTTTTGAAATTTTCTCCGTAACCATTAGGCGCATAATAACGCTTTAAGTTAATATACTAAATTATTTGTTATTTTTAAGCTCTGCAAAATCGATTGGAAAGAAATTGCTGAGTTTTATGTTTTTAGAGTAAAAAATTAGGAAAACCAATTTTTACCCCATAAAACCCCCCATTAACCCACATTCCCATGGTCCGATCATGCTGGTTCACGAACTCGTTCGAATAAATGTAGGTTTACACATTTATACAAAATTTCATCAAAATCGGATCATTTTTGCTTGAGTTATTGTGCTAATGTACATGTATATGAATTTGAACGGTTGGTGTTTTTGGTCTCTAGGGACCTAAAAAGGAAAAAGTTAATTGCTCCCGGGTCCAGGTCTTGCCATGAGTAAGCCTACTTTGGTAGTAGCTTATTCCCTATATGGGAAATTCGCTAAAAGAGGTTCCAGACTTAATTGTCACCCTGTATAACATAATGTAAAGAAGAAAATAATTACATTTTTATAACTGAATAGCTTTACCAAACAATGTTGCCAGTGATAAAAGTGAATATTTTCAGAAAACACAATAAAGTACTAGACCAACACAGCCAGTTTCCCGCGCATTCAATTGCTTGAAAGTGCTGTGAACCTCAGTATTTAAAAAAATAAATATCCCATGCAGTAGAGAATGTATTTTGCACGTTTGACCTTTGAAAATTTCAATTTCACAAAATAAGTAGATGCAAAGTTGTTCAGCAGGGATATTAAATTGTACACAATGGAAAATAAATATTCTGCACATCATTGCACACCTTTATTCAAACAACTTTCCCAATCTGACCTTGAAGTTGCCTCCAACCTGTATAAAGGACATTTTTACACTTTCTAAAATCTTGTATGTTGACATCAATCAGTGGCCTAACAGACTAACTATGGGTATTCCTTTCTACCACAGTTCTGGTTTTGTGTTTTTATTAATATTTTCCACATGTTGCAGGTAGGCTAGTGAAAGAGATAGACCTATTTGAAAACAAATTACTTTTTATTTTCATTGGGTTGCTAATAAAGTATAGTTAATTTTAAACATTAAACTATTTTATTTTTAAAGGGGCATCTATAAGATCAACAAACTTAATTTTTTTGCAAACAATCTTTAGATTCAATCTGCAAATTAATGTATACGGTATCTGTTTTTAAAAGTTTATTTAGGATACAGTACGGTAGGCTATTTACTCACATATTACCGGAATAAATAATATTTCATGATTCTTTTTCAAATTATAAAATAATTTTAATTAAAATATATATTTTTCAATTAAGGTTGTAAAATAACATGTTTGGCTTATCCTCTTCGTTTTTTGTTGTAAACGAGGCCTCCAAAAGTGAAACAAGGCATATTCTGTAAAACAAACTACTTATCTGTTGTTAACACTGAAAACTGTTTGAAACATTTTGACAAAACTATTCTTCTTTGAATTGTTGTATATTCATTTAGTAAACCCCGACACAGCTTTAGATAAAGTTCAACAAACTTTATTTTTCGTAAACTAGTTAGGTTTAATCTCTAAATTACTGTACTTATCTATGTTTTTAGTTTATTTAAGATATGGACGTTCAACCTGCGACTCTTGCACCAAGGTCTGTACGCCAAAAGATAAACACACTTAAAGAAAGTGTTCAAAACTGGTCATCGCACAATTCAGATTAAATAACTTTAAAATAAATAAGTAATTGTTCCAAGTAGCTTTTGGTTTTATGCTGCTGTACCTACAATAATTCAGTCAACAATTTTTATTAAATTTCAAATTACTGTACTGAAAAAGCTAATATTGTCTATGTGGTTAATATTCTTAATAGTCTTGAAAATGGTACGATGAAAATCTAAATCTCAACTCTCTTGCATTGAACCTAAATTATTGGCTCAAATCAAGTGATATGTCAGTGGCAGTAATTACCTATAAGAAAGAATTAGTCCTATACTAAGTGAAAGTGTTAGTGGTGAGAGTGGATACTACAAAGCTGTGTTGGTTTTCAGTGCTACAATGGGGACCAGGAAGCCGACGGGACCTCTGCTGCAGAAACTGAGAGGTCTCATGAAGCAGACCAAGTTCACCCCTGAGCCTCTACAAGCTTACATCGTTCCTCAGAAAGACCCTCACAATGTAAGGATGGTAGTTGTACCAATTAAAATTCAGCTTTTGTTCAGTATATACAGATTTTAATGCTGTATTAATTCATTGTTTACCATAATACTGTAGTTTACTTATTTTACCCAGGTAATATGAGGTTTGAAACTTCACACATTTTCATTTTGGCTAAGGATATTTGGATATTTTTAGTTCAAACAAGGGCTCAGATGTGTCCAAATTAAAGTGAGTCACTGTATTTAAGTTACCCAATACTTTTTGTTTGGATCTTTTAGATCCCAGTAATGCTAATTAATTAAGGGTATATGGCAGTGATAGGTAATATTTTGAAATTGATCAGTGCCTTACCTGTGATTCAACCAGTATCAATTTTAATATGACCCACTCTCATGCACAGCTTAAGATTTGTTTGCCTATTTTAAACCTGTGTACTGTTGAATGAATGGCAGCCTCTGAGTATTTTAATATTTCATGTTCATTTATAGTACATAACTTGTTCATCGCTATTCATTGAATAGTACTAACTAATTACTGTCTGGATAGCCGAGTGGTAATAGTGCTAGTCTTCAAATCTGAAGATCACTGGTTCGATTCCCAGCGAGATCGTTACCAGACCCAGATGCCATTTGTCATTGGGCCATGGATTAATTATGCTATCTAACAAAAAGGTTGGCGTAATAAGACCAGGGTTTTGACCGTTCCCTTTCAAAACCCTAAAAATGCCATTGGCATAGATAAAACACAAATAAATAATAACAGTTTAATTGAAGTTACTTTTTCTATAAATTTAGTTGGTCAAATTTATGTTTTTTTTTTTTTATTCTTAGGTATTCCTGGATAATTCAGTAAAACAACTGAACCACCAAAGTAGATGTTTTTTAAAGTAATGCACAAATCTATGGCCAGTTCTGTTGATTACTCTTGAAAGAAACTAAGAATGCCAATTTGAAATACTATGCACTGCAGAAAATATAATGTAAGTATGACTGATATTTTATTGCCGTATGTGGTTTGCTAGAGTGAGTATCTCGCACCCAACTATGAGAGGAGAGCTTTCATCTCGGGATTCACAGGCTCCACGGGCACTGCAGTCATCACAATGACAGCCGCTTGTCTGTGGACTGATGGCCGATACTTCCTACAGGCTTCCGACGAGTTGGACGGCAACTGGACCCTCATGAAAGAAGGTAAAAATATTTGCTTCAAACTACACTGACATTGAAATAGAGTGATGTTTTTGGTAGATTTTACCATTGACTTTTGTATGCTGAAGAAGACATCATTCTATATGGACCATCTGCAAAATTTTTAATAAAGAACGTGGTCGAGTGACCCATACACAGATTGAGCTAGTGTCAATAATTCTATTTTCTGCCTTATTTGTTGTCTGTCTTGTTGTTCTGCCTTGTTTGATTCTATTGCTACCAGTTTTACTTGATTAAAAAGGTTGAATATACAACAGAAATCAACAATTTACATCAGCACAATCTGTTGGTGGCTCACTTCAACCTCAGTATGTACATTTTGATAAAAAAAACTGGCGACAACTTTACCATCAACGAATGAATGTCTATTTAGGCTTATATCAATAGTCAAAGATATTAATTTACTATTTAATCAAAATAATGTTTCTTTGTCCTTATTAGCTGATGTTACCGTATTTAAAACAGTTGATGACAAGAGATCACTACATAGTTTGAAGACATCATTGTTGTGAAAAGTGAAATGCAATGTTTATACTGGTGTTTATGTACAACTGGTTTAAGGTTTTAAGACAATTAAAATAGTATGCTAATTAGTACTGATCTACTGTGCAAATTGTTTATGTCGCAGGTGTTGTGGGGACTCCTAAGCTGGAAGATTGGTTGAGCAAGGAGTTACCTCGGGGCAGCAGGGTCGGGGTAGACCCTACACTGGTGTCTGTAGGAGATTGGTGTACTTGGTCTACTGAACTACACAGCAGACAGCACTCTCTTGTGCCAGTGTCTACCAACCTGGTGGACGAGCTGTGGGACACACGACCTGCGCCTCCTGACTCTCCTCTCATACCTCACCCCATCAGATACTCTGGTAATCTCTTGTCTGCTACTTACAACAAATTAAAAAAAATCAAGATACCTATTTACAAGGGCCGTACGTAGAAAGTAACAGATGTTTCGCATTGCTTTTGCTGCTATCTTAGTATGAGAGCATTACTACATTTAGTATACACCCAGCTATGGTAACAGGAATTTCATATCTTCAGTACTTTGTCTGCAATAGATTGTTAAAACAAGTGCTGTTAAAATATGAGCTCTATAGTGAGATTTTTGTTTCCAAAAATTCACACGCTAATTAAAATTTATCGCTAGATTTGGGATTTTTACAGCAAAGGAGTTATGATTGAAGGCTGAGGGAAGAGTCATGCATTGACTTAACTTGGTTTTCACTGTTGTTAAAGTCTTCCAGGAATTTCAGTGCCGGAGCAAGTCTCAGTTTTTTTTAATAATCTGTTAAGATCTTTGGAATACACCAATAGTTATTTGTGTAACTAGTGAGCAAAGTGGCACTTTGCTGCACACGAGAGCAACGTTTACGCACGAGCCGCAGTTGAGTGCGGAATGATGTGGAATATACACATTATATTTTTCCTACAGTCACTATATAGCATATAAATAATTAGTCTTTCAAACACTACAACATGTTTTTAGGTTCAGCTGGCAACACAAATAGGTGCCCTAGAGAAAGTAGTCCCCGGTCCGTATCACTCCGCTATTTTTTCCTCGGCAAGCAATGTGCTCCGCGACTTGAGAAAATAGTTCTGTATATTTTTGTAATTTGCAGTGGTTTCCGCACCTAAAAAAATGCTTTAAAGGTATTTTCTTGTTTATTAAGATCGTAGGAATGTTTTAAAAACGTTTAAAAGAGAAGTCCAGAAAGTTCAGAAATACCAAAAAGAGAACATAAACTATAAACACGAAATGACAGGTTAAATCGTAGTTATAATAGTCAATCAGCTGCTCATAGTATTATAATCTTTAGGTGTTGCCAACCTATTTCCAAGCGTACACGGATTACGTGCATAATAGAACCACACTGTTTTGTGTTGTTTCGTTGGAATCCTGATGTGCGCCAAAGTATAAACCGTACGACAAAGTATAAACCGTACGACAAAGTATAAACCGTACGACAAAGTATAAATATGCAGCAATTATCAGCTTTCTGTACTATAAACAGTACAAGGAAGCCAACTTTGTCGGGTGACTGTAGGAAAATAACATTTGCGGTAGCCAAGTTTGTTATGCAATTATATGAAACAATCTCTGTGAAATTTGGGAAATTAATCACGGTAATGATTTTCATAGTTGTGACACTGCAGTATTCCCAGATTTTTTTGTCGACTTTTCATACTAGTTCAACAGCCACTAGACTAGGCTGCCGCTAGACAAAATGATAGGTCCTGATCGTTAAAACATTTGTTTGGATATTTTTAAAGTTAATGCTTCATTGTACACACAACCTACACTCATTACTCCTTTATTACAAATCTTGCAATAAATTACAATTTTTTTTTTTTTTTATCGCTAACACAAAACTGATCACAGAGCACACGTCACAACTTGCAGGATTCACTATGTCAGTGCTAATTTTAATAGTCAACTGCAGACAAAGTACAAGAGATATTATGGGCATAATCCCCTTACTGGATCATCCTAAATGTAGGAACACTTTAATGCCAAGATGGCTGTGATAGCACCACCTCTAGCGGCGCAGATGCGAAACGTCGCGTACTTTCTAGACAGCCATTGTATTGTAAAAAAAATTTAGATAAATGTTGGAGGAATTATAATCTACAGGCCTAGTTAAATTCTAAATATAGCAAAGACTGTCCATGTTATACTTGAAAATACAACTTTGTCTTACTGATTAGGTGGCTCTGCACTGTTCTACTTTCGGGAGCATACATGACAGTTGGAAATGTGCATTTAATACAGTTAAGCTGGGTTTCCCTAGGCACGGAAGCGGAGAGCAGAGAGCGGACTCCTCTTGTCTTAGGTAATTTTAATGTTACTGTTTTCCTAGAAGCGGAGCAGAACGCCATGTTAATCGCTTTTCCGCTCTCTGCTCTCCACTCTCAGCGCCCCTCTTCCGTGTCTAGGAAATCCCGGTTTTAATCAAATCTGTGAAATGTTTAATTTGCTCTTGTAGTTTAGTTAATATTATTTCTAAACTTAAAAAGTTGAAAGTTCCATAACTAAAGAGAAACTGGATATCCCGTACCTAGTGTTACAGCAAACGTTGCAGCACTAATGTGTATTTTTATCATTGTTATGCCATGTTATTATGATTTTTTTTAGTGTGACACAATTTCCTGAATCATGCTTTTAGCTGCTAAATTGAACTATAATGATAATACCTATTTGATCTTTATTAAGACCATTATAACAAATGAAAGAAATGTTTGCAGGTAAAAGTAGTCATACAAAAATCACTGAGGTCAGAAAGAAAATGGAAGAAAAAAATGTGTCAATGCTTATTGTCAGCGCTTTGGATGAAGTGGCATGTAAGTCATGTGTTTATATAAACATCTTCGTTCATACTTCCTAGATTGTCACAGTAACAATCTGCATAAAAGTATCAATTTATGAATGGTTCGTTCTTTGTAATTGAAAATCTGCTGAAATCTTTTTAAAATCTACTGAAAATGTTTTGCATACGGTATCTTAAAGATTGCTTAAAAAGTTAACCAAAATACTTAGTCTACGTTTATGAAGATACTGGTTGTAACAACTAGATTACCTGTATATTTCTATTACTATAAGTTGCACTTTGTTTTATTGATATTGATAAAACTCAAACTGCTCATACTCAACAACCTACCAAAAATGTGTTTAGTATTAACAACATTTCAAATGTGTGAATGTAATACATAGTTTTAGTGGTTTCATTCACACCTGTTTCCAAACAATTGAAAAGTATAAAACACTAGTCATCTGAAGGCAACAAACTCTTTTTCTCAACATTATAGTTTAATTATCCTTGTTGGACATTGCTTGCCATCATTGACTATTGGATCCACTTGCAAGTGTTTGCTGCAAGTAGTATATATTCTTCTTTGGGTTTCACTATGAAGATGAACTTAGGAAAAAGTATTTGACTTTTGTTAAAAAATACAATCTTTATTAAATAGTTTTTGTTTTCCAGGGCTACTCAACCTTCGAGGTTCTGACATACCTTACAATCCAGTATTTTTTGCGTATGTTGTGATTAACTCTACGGATATTAATGTGTTCATTGACTCTCGAAAACTCACCCCTGCAATACACAGTCACTTTTCTGAAGAAGAACTCAACGTCACCATACAGCCGTACGAGAATATTGTTACCTTCCTTGGAGATGTCGTAAGTTAATATCTAAGTGATTTTTGTTTTCTTTTAAAACTACCATGTAGTGCAGGACATTTACATTTTTTCACCAGAATAACTTACAGGTTGAAGTGCAAATGCCATTTAGTCCTCAGTTTGATATTGTCAAAAAATAAAGCATACAATTTTTATTTTACTTAAAATTCCAACAGAGAATTCCATTTCAATAATAATGTAGGCCCTACAGATATTTGGACAAATTGTGCAAGATAGTATACTGTGTGTCCCATAATAGTCACCCCCTTGTTTATTTCTAAATGGCTACATATATTTAAACGAGCTTCGATACACGTTACTAGAGTAATGTAAAGTACTTTTTGGGGGCATTATTCACCCTCCCCCCCACTAAATTGGGGTTGCTGAGGTAACTTACAATTTTTAAATAGCAACCCCTATCAAGTAGCACATCATTTTAAAGGCTATTAGTTAAAAAGAATATCGGCGAAAACCAGAGGTCTCTATCTCAACCCATTACAGAATGGCGACCATTTTTTTATTTTTCATGAGCCTGAGAGTGTCCATGTAAAAATATACACCAATATCCCCTACTAGCGGTTTTATGGGTTGTACCAGGAAAACTAAACTCATTATTACTGTAACAAGAAAGTAAAAACTACTTTTTGATCAGTATGACAATTTTGCCTGGGACCCCAAAATGGCGTATTTTGGGGGTGAAAACTACTTCCCCTATCTCAACGTAATTCAAAATGGCATCAGTTTTTAGTTTTCATCTACCTCCCAAATAAAAATACATTATAATATCCAATATTAACATTTTATCAGGTTGTACCAGGAAAGCTTCAAAAGAAAAACAGTATACTTTTTAATTATTATTTGGTATCAATATTTCCTCTGGGAACCCCAAATGAAGCATATTGGAGCAACTCAAATATGTTAAATGTAATGCCTGAAAACTAAAAACTGCCGCCATTTTGTACCGGGTTGAGGTAGAGACCTCTGGTTTTCGCCTATATTCTTTTTAACTAAAGACCCTCAAAATAAGGTGTCACTTGATGGGGCTTTACATTAAACAATTACGAGCTTCTCCCAAATCAACACATTTTGGGATTCCAGGCAATATTGTCATACTGGTCAAAAAGTAGTCTTTACTTTCTTGTTACAGTAATAATGAGTTTATTTACCCTGGTACATCGCATAAAAACGCTAGTATAGAATATTGGTGTATATTATTACCATATAGTAGTTGTATATTATTTTACATGGGCTCTCTCAGGCTGATGCAATTATGTGTGTATTATGGGACACCTGGTATGTTAATAACAATATAGTAAAGAGAACAATAACAAAGTGGCAACACGACGAGTAAAACAAAGAAAAACAACAGTTAAGGTATTCATTCCATTGTTTCAGAGTTATAATAAGTGTTCTTGTACTTGTAAATGTCTTTCTTAATGCAATAACCTTTGGATATAAAACCTATGGAGAAAGTTCCCTTACTTACATGAGCATTAACTTCTCTTGTACATTAGAATTGTTTAACTAAATAGTTGTGTGTATCCTCAAACTATTTAGGGGTATGGGGCTCATTTTAGCATTATGCATGATTTGCACAGGTGAAAAACAGGGTGCCAGACTCCGAAGCTTGTTGACTAGACCACTATTAAATCCATTGGCAATCAAAATCCAGAATTACCAAGAAATACTAACAAGTAGGGTACTAAATGTATTTCAAAGTTACCATCACTGACAAAAGTTATGAGAAATTAATCAAGAGTCAAGAGTATTTATTCCATTGATCTATAGCAATACAGAAATAGGAACAGTCAATTCTTACTAAATGCTAATACATTAAATTAAAATTAACTAAAAACTATGTACAACAGGTTAAAACTTAACATTAAACTCTGACATTTCGAATTCATCAAGCGAATAAAAAGGGTTTTCAACTAGCCAATTTTTTATAGTTTTTTTGAAGTGATTAAATGGGATGAGTTTTGCAGTTTGGGGGAGCCTATTAAAAAACCTTACACAGTTTGCTTTAAAGGATTTACCTGTTTTGGCTAACCTGTGTTGGGGTAGATCCAGCTTAGCCTTGCCTCTGGTGTCATGTGCATGAAAGTGGTCTCTGGTGGTGAAATCTGAAAGGTGTAGTTTTGTGTGGATAAGTACTTGGTAGATGTAAAGGTTTATTACTGTCATGATATTTAGTCTAATAAACAATGGTTTACAGTGTTCCACTTCATCCACTCTACACATAGTTCTCAAGATTTTCTTTTGAATTATGAGAATGTCGTGTACAGCACTAGAGTGACCCCACAAAACTATTCCATAACAAATATGTGATTGAACAAAAGAAAAATAAGATATCCTCAAATACTCATCCCTCACACAACTTTTATTAATACTTTTTTATGTTAATTTTCAACTTGTGATGTGTAGTTAAAAATTGGTGGAGATAATGATTCGCTTTTATTTTCTTATTTTCATTGGTCTTTAAGTGATATCACCATCAGTACTATACACAAGTACATTAGTTTACTCTGTTTAGGTAAAGAAAGGTTCTTCAAGTGAAAAGTACTGGATACCCCACTTAACCAGTTATGCTGTTGCTTCTATATTTCCTGAAAGTTCTCGTATCAATGATGAGTCACCAATATCAGCGATGAAAGCATTGAAGAATCCTACTGAGGTAAAGGGTAAGATCACACTATTTTAAAATTAAATGTGTTAATACTCAGTAGAATCATATTATCCTATCCGTTATTAGTTATTTAATATTTATAAAACGAGTATTTATTTTTAAGCAAATTTTCTTTATTGTAATTTTAACTAAGGTGATTTAAAAGACAATCTACAATTGTTTCTTAAATTGTTTGGTTCTTCTTCTTTCCTTCCTCAAGTTTTTTTTCTGTTTCTAAAGTATTTTAAACAATAGTACATATTTGTTAAATGTTTTATTATCAACCCATTGGCATACCGAAATGGCATACCTAACTACTTAGGCCTATATGATTTTCTATTCTTTTGCTCTTTTAGTGACTTACAAAAACAACTGTAACAAAAACTTTAACTTCAATTGTCATTATTATTTTGTCTTAAATTACTATCTTTCTACTCTCAAACATTCAAAGACAATTAGTTCTTAATTCACAATTATCTATATACTGGTCTAGTCCACTTCATCTTCAACAAGACAGTCGTGTGGCGTTTTGACACACAACATAACCTCAAAACTCTCGTTAGTTGTTTACTGATATTTTTTATTCCCAAACAAACCAGAAATATACACAATAACTATTTCAGATGAACAGAAAAAAATATTGACCCGTCAAGTGCTGCGATTCACAGAATAAGTTTGAACTAGTAGTAATGTCCCAGGGTGGAACAGTTCCATCTAGGAATGCCAGCAACACATTAGCGAGGGGACGGAAATGTTGTGTCTAAGTATGCCAGTAGGTTAGTAAAAATTCAATCCAAAAAGTTGAGGTGAGATATAAATACTTACCATTTATTTGTTTAAGGCTAATTATTTTTAAATGTAAATAATAAGGCTGCAGCAAACTTGCCGACTAAGCGAATTTCCATTTGTCTGTAATGATTTTCAATTAAATATATTTTAAAAAAACATGAGGTTTGATACCTATCTAGGTTTGCTGCTACAAGGAAACTAATAACGTGTTTTTTTTTTTGTAAAATATTAGTAGAGTAGTATAAAATAAATAAATTTGCCAATTTTGATAAAAATATATCAATAAACAAGCAAGCTACAACATTTGACAATATTATCTATAAGAATAACATGTAAATTTTAAATTAAAATTTTTTTTGAATTTTCTCCGTTACCATTAAGCGTACAAAAACACTTTGATATACTAAATTATTTGTTTTTTAAGCTCTTTAAGAAGGTCTAGAGAGAAATTGGGAAATGCTGTGTTTTGAGGGTCAAAAATTAGAAAAACCATTTTTGACCCCATAAAACCCCCCGTAAAACCCCGTTCACATAGTCTGATCATGTTGGTTCGCGAACTCATTCAAGTTTATCCCACCTTACACCTTTAAACCAAATTTCATCAAAATCGGACAAAAATTACTCAACTTATTGAGTTTACGGACGTATATATATATTTTTGGCCTCTGGGGACATCAAAATGAAAAGTAAATTGGCCCCGAGCCTAGGTCTTACCGTGCCACCTACGGTAATAGCTACTTCCCTATAGGGAAATTCGCTAAAAAGAACTCCTTATTGAAGAACTCTTTACACCAAATCAAATTAAATCGTCTTTATTTTATAGTGTACATCAGTAAATGGAATGAAAACTATACATAAAACTTAACCTAAAGAAAACAAGCCTATGAAAAATAAAACAATAATTTGACATGTATTCTTCTAAAGTGTATGTATAGAGGTAGTGGCAACAAGTGGTACTTAAACTTTTTTTTTATTTGAACAAATTCTTTGAGCAAACAGCGTTGGCAACGTAAGGGGGGTAAAGGAGAATGGGAGATGGTCTCACATTGTGATATGACTTTGTGTTGTGTCTAGGTCTGATAGATGCTCATGTGAGAGACGGAGCTGCTCTTGTATGTTATCTGGCCTGGCTGGAGAAACAGTTGGGAAAAGGTGCTAATGTGACAGAGATATCTGGAGCTACAAGACTAGAGGAGTTTCGCAGGTAATTTGTGTAGAGCATTGTTACTTAGTAATGTTACCATAATCTATGTTCACGTTGGCAATATGCAAAATCAGGTGATGTTTCAAATAAAGGAGCTTATGGCTATTCCCATGACGTTCTATATCACGCCACCTTTCATAACATAGCCTAAATCCCCTCCCCTCACATCAGTCTACACCATGTCTTATCCCGGTAAACACCACGTACCCTTCGCGGCCCTCTTAAGCAGTTAAAATATAACTTGTATTAATCATTTACAACAACACCTACCCCTAACTCCCATAGGACAGTACAAATGGCTATGAGCCATAATACAGTACAGTACAGTTGTTGGTTATGGGGAAAATTCAAAAAGTTGTAAATTAAAAATTCCTATATAACTCAAAATGAAGAATAAGTTAGCGTTACTATTGTATTTTGATCAAACTTGATAATTTTTTTTATTTAGCCTATTTAATACTAATGTATTAATATTTTACTAAAAAACATACTTTATAGTCCTCTTTATTGCAATAAACCTAAGCACTCGTTAAACCTAACATTATTTTAATAGATTTAAGTGAAAATCAAATCAGGCAAATAGAAATTCGCTTAGTCTACAGGTTTGCTGTGACGGGGATATTTTAATCTTGAAATTATAGTTTTAAAAGTAAGTCAAATTGAGTAAAAAAATATCCTATGTTGGTATAATCATAGTGTCCCCACCCATCAATGTTCAAACTGATAAGGGCACATAATCATTTGACACTAGACAACTAAGACAATGTACCTTACAAGTAGAATATTGTCCAGAACCCATCGACAGTTTTTTTTTTTATTATTTATGAAACCTTCTTGTGTCTTTTACATGATGGATGTGAGTTTCATTGGAAGAAAAATGTCTCATCACATCTAATGTGTAATGAACTTTTTTAGAGAACAAGAGAATTTTGTTGGTCTAAGTTTCCCTACAATCTCGTCGTCTGGACCACATGCAGCTGTGATCCATTACCAGCCCTCTGAGGTGACAGACAAACAGATCACAACAGACCAAGTGTATCTGTGTGACTCTGGAGCTCAGTACAAGTAAGTTTATCTTTATAATTTAACAGTTTAACACTTATTTATGGTACTTAATATTTCAAATTGGAGATTTGACGTTTGCTCAGTCGTAGAACCAATATGTAAAATTGTAGGTTTAGCAAAAATTTAACTTTTTGATGTTGGTATTTATTGTTAAGCAAACTCTTGCACAGTTGGACTTTTCCTTTACTTATGTTGGCTACGTGAATTTTAGGATACAGATTGAAAATTAATCTGCCGTTCGTCCAATTGAATTTAAATTATTTTGTACCTTTATGGCTATGGGAGTACATTTTTATTTTTCATGCTGGATCCAATAGAACCTAAAATTGCATAGTCTTTACTTGTATACAAATAATAGTTTTATAATACAAATTATTGAAAATGAGCAATCTTTTACAAAATGACAACATTTTATTGCCATAAAAATGCATCACAATGGTGTATGGTATCTTCAGAGTAAAAGTAACAAAACAACATACTTACATAGAGTAAAAATACATAGCAATTTTCTTTTTCAACAATCTTGTAAAAGTAAAAATAAAATAAGGCCGAAGTGACAAATAGTTCATAAAACCATTTACATACACAGAAATCTCTAATCATAGACTTCATAAGCAAACTTAAAAGTTCTTATCTTCTAAAGACTTAATACTCTTAGGCAAAAAGTTTGTTTATTTATTTCAAAACTTGAATGTATGGTGGCTTGATATTTACATGAATGTTGAAGGGATGGCACTACGGACATCACTCGCACAGTTCACTTTGGCACTCCCACAGACTACCAGAAGGAGTGCTTCACCAGAGTGTTCAAAGGCCATGTTGCTCTTGCATCTGTTGCATTCCCAGCTAAAATTAAGGTTAGTTTTACTGTAGACCGTGTATGTCAAAATTGTTGCTGTAAAACTCTGTCGAATTTTTATATTAGAGAAACAACAAAATAACAAACAAAGACATATAATTCTCCGTTTTCGATATCTATCTTAAATTTAAAGATGACGTAAATTTGTATTGGTATTTAAAATCTTAAAACTTCGTTGCTTGTTTGTCTTGCATAATTAAAACAATAATGTAAAATACACGCTAATTTTTGGGTTTTTTTCCAAAATTCTGCGGGATCAGGGCTAAAATTGGCTAAGTTTCAAACAACTATCACACAAAACATGGTTCACTATTTTAGAAATGGAATCTAGGCAATATACTAATACTGTACAATCCATAGAACATTATCTAACCTACTGCTTTATTCAATTTTTTTTTTTTAATTTTGTTTTACTAATTTAAGAAATATTTTTTATTTTGTCAACTTAGATACATAGACTTTATTAACACCACACCTACGACAAACGACTTTATTGAAAACACTGTAACATGAGACATCAGTATAGTCTCTAACAGTGTACATAGAATAGAATAGAAATCTTTATTTGCCACTGACATTATACATGTATTAGCAACAGTCAAGAATGTAACCAGTCAAAGGTCATAAAACATAAACCTACAAAAAACATAAGCTTACAAGCTAAAATACAATGTTCTTTTTCTGTAAAAACTCAGAGAGGGCATGTTAATGTTCTGACGCTGGCATACACTTTAGTCTCCCTATAGACAGCCAAACTTCCATTCTCTTATTTTCACCCACCACCATATTTTATAAGTCTTGGTTTCATTTGACATCTCTGGCTATCATTGTCCTGTTGACAGGGTAATTGCCTGGACACCCTAGCTAGACACTCATTGTGGACTGTAGGATTAGACTACATGCATGGCACTGGTCACGGCATCGGCTCTTACCTCAATGTACATGAAGGTCCGATGGGCATCTCATGGCGACCCTACCCGGATGACCCTGGCCTGCAAGAGGGCATGTTCCTCTCCAATGGTTAGTTAGTTTTTAACATTTTGGGTTTGTTTTTCATAATTGATACATATGAATTTGGTATTATATTGTCATCTCTTATCCCTGGTAACGTTCGCACGAGTGAGTACTACAACTATCCGCAGTACTATCCTGAAAATTGGACCAATTCATATACACCAGAGGCAAAAATGTGGTTCGGATTCCACTATAAACTGTAGGTCTCTTAGTTGCCATTTGCTGTATGGGCTATTAATTAACAGCTGTGTCCAAGGAATAAGTCGGCCTTAGTCACTAAGAAGACTTCAAGATCGGGCCACTCCTACACTCATCTCCATTCATACACATATTTTTTTATTCTTTTGAGAAAATTTCTAATTTTTTCAACAAATTATATAATGCAGATCGTAATAGATTAATTGCAGAAAACTATTGAGTAGTGCAATAGTTAAGTGTGGCAAAATAAGTATGTTTCTAAATGTAAATAAACATTCAACAGTGTAAGTGTGATTTCATTATGTTTTCAGAACCAGGATATTATGAAGATGGACAGTTTGGAATTCGTATTGAAAACATCCAAAGGATAATTCCAGCAAAAACAAAGTATCAGAAAAAAAAATTCCTTAGCTTTGAAGTAGTGTCTCTAGCTCCGATTCAAGTAAAGCTGCTAGAACCTAAGCTACTAACTAAGGAAGAGGTTAGTTAATTAATTTTATTATATCTAAAAATACAGATTACTTTAAAGTGTTAAATAAAATTGCACTGTAGTTTTTGTTGTCTTACTACAGTAGACTCCCTCTTATCGGGACACCTTTTAAGTGGACATCGGTTTAACCGGACTACACTCGGTGGAAATGACATCTCTTTAACCGGACTACACTCGGTGGAAATGACATCTCTTTAACCGGACTACACTCGGTGGAAATGACATCTCTTTAACCGGACAATTTTTATCAGCACATCGGTTTAACGGGACTAGATCGGCAGGAAGTGGGCAGTACTGAAACGACTGTTCTCGTGGGAAAGATTTGAGACCAGTGATCACATGGCTAAATACAATGCTCTCCTAAATTTAAGACAAATATTGTATACAGTATGCATTTAAACGGTCCGCCGTTAAAAAAAAAAAAATTTGGGGTAACCAGAAAACCTGTTATCCGTACTGGCCTCGGTCCCAAAGAGTCCGGGGGGGGGGGGGGGGGGGTAGCAACATGCAAATATATTAAATAATGGTTGATTGATAACAGGTTGATTGATTAAAATTTAAGAATTAGAGGGAAACATCTGAGATCCTATCAAACTTAGGAAAGATTAATATCAAGCTGTATGTTTTTAGACTCTTTTGGGTCTCTTGATTTCAAATAAAGTAAGGTACCTATTATTAATTCTTATTTAATTATTATTGTAATAAAGTTGCAATGTAATAGATTGAATGGCTGAACCGGTACCACACGGAGGTTAGAGAGAAACTGACTCCACTTTTGCTCAAACTGGGACACAATGATACAGCTGATTGGCTGCGTAGAGAGACTGAACCCATCGGCTGATGTGAGTTGTGAAGAAAATAAACTATCAAAACTAATTGTTAGCAAATACTAGAGAAATGGTTGTTTTGTTCAATTTCTTTCATTTATCAGTTTTTGACTAGTTACATTTTTTTTTTTCGTTCAGGGGGACCAAAAACGAATATCTCCTTCTTAAACTCAAACTCCTAAATTTTGATGAAAACAATACTTTCTCCATATTGTATATAGGGGGATAGAGTAAAAAAACAATAGCAACAGAGATACTGTATTAAATGTGGCTCCTATGAATGAAGAACACATATTACGCTTAAAGTCAAGATATTTGCTTAAAGTATACAGTGTTTGGTTTAGCTAGGCGAAACATGTTGAGAAAAGTATTGAGAATTGATGGCAGTAATTGCTTGAATTGTACTTTTATTTTCCAGATCCCTTGCTGTGCTGCGGGATGTACACATTAAAAAAACCATCTAAGTCATCAAAGACTATACAGTAATTTTGTACATTAGTTTATTTGCCTTTGAAAATTCTATGTATTAAATTTATTTAAATATTTTAGAATGATTTAAATTTACCTTGTATCCCTCCATAATTGCTATCTTTTACTTTTGTTTTTTTTCACAACAATCTAAATAGAAGTATTTATACTTTTTGGCAAAATAGTATATTTCACTAGAACCTTTTTTTCAGCCTGAGCCCAAGTTTAATGATGGCTAGGAAATGAGGGCTGAAAGGACACTATTCACCTGTGTGATGAACTGCATTTTTTGTCATATTGCACCATTCTTTAAGCTAAATAATTTACAAAACGTACATTGTTATTATATAAAACAGCTCCCAAAATGGTTTCCTTCAGTTTCGATACTACAGTAGAACCCCTTATATCCAACCGGCACTGGGCCGAAAAGTCAGATATCGGGAGAAAACACCTCTTTTTACAAGTAAGAAGGTTTATTTATTCCACCATTAAACAATATACTCATCAATTAATACATTATCATTTATCAAATAGTCTCTCTTTAGCCAAAAATCTATTTAGCAGGGTGTGAACAGACCATAAATTACAAAAAAAAAAAAAAAAAAAAAACGGGAATCATACTGAACATTTTACCTAATTTCAATCTGCAGCTGCAGTCAAGGCAAAATTTTGAACATCATCTAGGGTCTTGGAATATAGACAACATCTTCAGTCGTCATAGCAAAACTGTGAAAAATTTCTGCTGTCATGGTAAAAGGTAAAATTAAGAACATCCATCCCAGTCACAGCAAAATCGTGAATATCTTCCAAGTTCATAGCAAAATCTTTAACATCTTTGACATTCACAGCAAAATTGAGAACATCTTCTGTGCAACATTGTCAATTTTTGATTGCACAACTATGCTAACGCTTTCCGCAGTTGCAAAAATATGGACTCGAACCGAGCTTGGCCCAACATATTTTGCCTGTACGTGTTTGGGCCAACTGTTAACCCGATCAGACCCAAACAGATTTGGGACCAGCAGACCCCTAGTAAATCGTGAACTTGGCGACTGGGAATCCCGACCAGAAAAAAAAGGAGTTCTGTGGCCACACTTATGGTCAGACGCGATGGTCAGACACTACGTTGGATATCCTGAGGGGTTGACTATGTGGATATGAGGGGTCGTACTGTATATACAGTTACTGAAATTTTTTAACATTTCAATTCGTTTGGATGTCAATAAAAGGTCAATTTGTTATGAAATATTTGCCTAACATGATCTGAACGAATTTGTATAATGATACAATATATTTGGCAAAATCACTGAACGAACTTTACAACTAAAAATAAACTGCTCATGTCCTCCACTCCAGCTGATTTTTTGTTTCCCTAGGGAGAAAAAGAGCCACTTTAGCCCTGCAACGCGTGAATTGAAAACATGCAATGTGATATTTCCATGCAGTGGTGGGAAAAGCGTTAAAACAACTTTGTTTCAATAATTATCTTAGTAAATACAACATTTCCTAATCTTTAATTTATCCTCAAAATTGTTTCAAATGTGATTAGAGTTTCCGACTAAAAATTTTAATGTTGAGATTAATACAGACTCTATTTTTATATGATATAAGTCACATTAACAAACAGAAACAAACATTTTGTTAACCGGATAAACCTATGATTTTCCCACTAGTTATATGTATAATTCTTACAATAAGAGTTTAATTTCTTTATTGTTTGTTAATTGTATTATGATGACCTTGGCAGAGTTAGAGCTTACATACTGACTCAGCTATTGCTTTGTTGTTGATTATCCTCATTTAGTTTGGATGTCCTTGTCCTGATACAATGAAGGACATCCTGATGTTGATCAGACCTTCATCCGTCCATCACTCACTGTATCTATCTCTACTTACTCAGGCTACTAATTACCTGAATACCTCTAGTTCATCTTATGCTTACAAGACTGATGCATATTGATAGACAGCAGCTCCTAATAATTAGATTCTTTAGTAATTTGTAAAGGAAATATTACAGACTATAAGTACATAATTAAATACCGGTAAAACAGTTGTTAGTAAGCCTGGTTGGGTGTAAACTCAACATATTCGGATCGCTTACAGGTTTTTGCTGTAAAATATCTGATGTCAAAGTCATGTTAGTAAAACATATTACTCCTAATAGAAAGCGTTAGTGTTATGTAAAAGTACACCATCTCAAAGAATACCTTTGAGAGGAATAAGTGTTTTAGAAGCTGTTTGTTGCTGTCCAACCAGTTGGGATTGGAGGTTGGTGGTGATCACTATAGTGGATAAAAGTAGTCATGTGGTTTTTGTAAAACTAAATTATTCTTTGATTATAAACCAAAGGAAGCAACAAAAGTCTGCACTTTTGAAACATACTTTTCTAAGTCCTTTAATTTTCTGGCTTCTCTTCTTTGTTTTAAGAAAAAACTCATGTGTGCTACATAATGCAAGTAAACCAATGTTTAACACCATTATTTTCAAGACATTTGAGTGAAAAAGAATTGGCCTATGTCAATTACTTTCAAATTTCAAAATGGCATTCAAACCTAATTTATTTAATACATATTATTTTTGATGGTAAATTTTGATTTTAGAAGAAAGTCTTCACACAGATTGTTATTTAACAGGATAAAGTCAATATATGTTTGATAATCTAACCAATCCATACTGACAGGGAAATATGGAAATTTAACCATTTGGTCTAAAAAATTAGGTAAAACAAAATAAATACAAAGAAGATCTAGCTACTAGCTGCAACAAAGAATAAGACTTAATTGTTTGAGAACCATCCAGCTAAGTATAGTGGTAGCAAAACGGGAGTGCCGATGGAGACCAGGTCAAGTCCCTTTAAACGCACGCACCCCCACAGGTCTCCATTGGCACTCCCGTTTTGCTACCACTATAGCAATAGGCCATGGTTAGCATGTGACATGCTATGGGCATAAGAGATAATTGAACCCCCTCCCTCCATCCTTCCTCATAGGAGATTTTCCTCTTCCTAGCGCCCCCAACAAACCCAAAACCTCTTTCCCCCCTGGACCCAGTTCCACCAGGCCCATTTATTAGAGCGGCCCTGATTAGCAAACTATTTTACTAACACCTTTTTTTTCTAAATCATGAACAACACAGAGTACAATTATTTTAAATAAATCTCATTAACCGGGAAATAAAACATCTGTGGTACAATAACTTATTTATTGAACATAGAAATGTTTTGTAAAAAAATTAATACAAAATATTTAAAATCAGTTTTGTTTAAGCCAGCCTGACTCCACTTCCGTCCTTGCACTCTCCGTCTGACTCCTTGATAAGATCTGAAACAAATCAGTTACCTTGATAAAAACGTTCTTTTTCATTTGTGTGATGTTTTCTTAAAGGATTTAGAATGGTTACAAGCTGTTATAAAAGCCACATTAAAAGTTTGTTCAACACTGTAGGTCTATTGCTTTTTGATATGCCTACATAAGTCTTTTCACACAGCACATCCGAATATTGAATCTGTACATGGAATGCATACAGTAGGAGTATCCAACTTGAAGGGCTTAAAAGGCTAAAGTAATCACACAAATATGCATATCTAAAATATAACACATTATTATTTATTTACTAGTGTCCCTGTTGCTCGAATTCGAGCAATTGCCAAGTATTACAGAAGTTATTTCAAAACGAATAACAGTCACATTTACAATGAGTTAAAAAGAGTCAGCTCAAAGATTGTCGGTGTGTAACTTATGGAAATACTCACGATGTATATAACAGTTCAATATACTGTAATCAACATTTCCTGTGAATATGTATCATAAGCTGATATTGTTTTTTAGTGTTTTTCTACAAACATTTCCTGACTTATACAAAATTCAATAATTAATAACTTATATCACTAAACACAAACCAGCATCCAAAACTATACACATTTTTAATGCAACATGGATTATTTACACATCGAATGTTTACAATTAGCATATGTTCTTCTTCTCACTTTTAATTTCTGACAACATCTGGAGATTCATAACAATGTTTGTTTCCCATGTTAATCTTACGGAGAAATACGAAACTTTAAAGGGCCCCAGGCCTCACTCTCTAATTATTTCCCTGAAATGAAAGTTTCCTGCAAAACTTCACGTTACGCTCTTTCCAATGACACCAAAAACATGTCAATCGGTTCAGTAGTTTCGGAGGAGTAATTGTCACAAAGAACCTGCTTGCGTATTAAATAAGTAAAAATAGATTATTTAAGCCCAATGATCAGGAACAGCTTGGTTCAGTTTCGAACAATCAAAAAGCTCTCAGGATCATAGACTAACCAACACAAGTAGACTTCTCATCCCATTGTAATTTTGAAGTTTGTTTTTCGTGTCTAGTTCATGTACAGTGACACTTGGCGCTAGTGTCGACGAAATCTTGTTTCCATTAGGGTTAATTTCTTGATTTGGGCTTTACTGTTTGGTTATATAACTAAGGGACAAGTTATTGTTTGTGATTAGATCGTATTATTTGGTTAAACGAGGTTTTAAATTACTGTAATAACAGGAAACAAATTGTAAACAAAACACAACCTCTACATAAACTGTACAGAACTAACAATAAAATTGTCTTCAGCTGTTCTATAAGGATGAGAAATCTACTAAGGGAGTATGTTTTATCTGTGTCAGGATCTAATCGGCAACCTTTCGATTGCTGAGCAGGCACTATAACCATTTGGCCACCCAGCCAGTTTGAAAGGAAGCCCCCACTTGGTTGAAAGAATACCAGTACAGTAGTATTGGGTTGGTCCACTTACTGGTGCCATGTTCACAGTTGAACTTGTTCATGACACAGATGTTGCCGAAGCTCTTTGGTTTCTCAGTGCTGTCCTTCTCCTTGCCACACACTGGAGTGTAGTCCTCTGGACATTTCTCGTCACACTTGGGCTTGGGAGGCTTGGTGGTGGTGGAGGTTGCCTTCTTCACTGATCCTCCATAGCTGTCCTTCTTGGGAGCTCCCAGCACCACAACACACACACACGCCAACACTACAATTGAAAAATAATATGTTTAATGTTTCGTTATGTTAGCTTTTCTACGTAGGTATCAACATTGAGTCCATACCACAACTCATTTTCCCATCCCACTTCACTTAAATTTCCCACATTGGATATAATTGTAATTTTCAATCCAACATTTTCTATTCTATGTAAAAAACTTTGTCTGAAAACTAAAACCAATTATGGTTTCAAGTGGAACTATTCTAGACAGATGTGTTCATTGTCCGGCACTCTATTATGATTTTGATAGATAATTTTACTTATGTCACGCTAGTCAAAATGACATGCATACATTTTAATGTAGCTCTCATATATTTCTAGTAAATCTGTGCCAAAAATAATCCATTTCGGTGCAAAAACTTCTAACAAGCCCGAAATTGGATTTTAGGATATGAGTATTGAACAATACGTTTCATCACAATGCTAGAAATTACTCAAAGTTTAAATTATAAAATATAAAAAATTATGGTATAGCAAATCTGTTTCAAGTTGTCATAGCATAGGTTTGAAATGTCAACTAAAAATTACTTCCCGCAATTATAATTATTCTCACATTATTTTATGCTCACACTAGCTCAAGCTCAACCCGTTGTGGCTTTTCTCTTGACAATTTAAATAAAATACCACTGTCGCTGCAAACCTGCAGACTCAGCGAATTTCCATTTGCCTGATTAAATTTTTATTAAACTATTTCCTTTAAGCTCACCAGATGTATTCCCCATTTAAATAGCATTAGGTCAAACAAGTAAATTAGGTTTGATGCTACATGGAGGGTTATAAAGTGTGTTTTTAGTAAAATATAATAGCTTTAAGTATAAAAAATACATTTTCCAAGTTTGATCAAAATACATGGTGGAACAAAGTTAGTGTTAAAAAATGTACATGTTAAACTACTAAGTCCATGCTTAGATATAATGGCCATATAAGTGCACTAAAAATGTAGCTTTTCTTCAGAGTTCATTGTATTGTAATTTTCAGAATACACATTAAATTTCCAATAAAAATAGTAGGCACAGGATAAAAACGTGTATAAGCCCTTAATCTACAATGAAAGTTTGGATTTGTTATTTTTGAGAAAAATTTAATTATTTTACACAAGTTTTGTCTACCTTACACTGGACTGTAGAGAGTGTAAAATATTATTGAAAATGTCTATTTATAACAGTGGCGTCATTTCACCAAATCCTTTGGGGTTGGGGGGGGCCAACACCAGTGGGTATGGGGGGTATGGAATATCCCCCAACAAACGGCGGGGGTGGAAAGTTTTGCAGTTTTTAAACAAAAAAAGAGGGGTTTAATCTTATTTTAATTGTCAAAAGCACTTCAAATAAAAATAAATTATGAGTAAAATTTATTCAAATTTAGGCAGAAAATTAATGAAACCAACAATTATTGACAACAGTCAGAAACATAATAATATGTTGGTGAGTTACATCTAAGAAATGTGATCAATATTTCCATGATGTATTAATATTATCTATCTATCTATCTATATCTATATATACAGGGTGTTTTTTTAAAAACTTGCATCTTTATTTATATAAAAACTGCAATATATAGAAATATGCAGTTTGTGGGAATCATCTATTGACGTAGGGGGCCCAATTGTTTTGAATTGAACGTTACATTCACATTCCCCCCCTATCCCCCCTGCCCCCAACTTAATTTGTTTAAATAGCAAGGTACCCCTTGTGACATATCAAATGAAAGAGCATGAAAAAATAAAATGTTTGATGAAAAAAAATTGAAAATCGGTTCATAAATTTGTGAGATATTCCCTCCCCCCTTCCCCGGAACTTAATTTTTTTTTTATAGCAAGGTACCCCTTGTGACATATCAATTGAAAGAGCATGAAAAAAGAAAATGTTTGGTGAAATTTATTTTTCATTTGATATGTCACAAGGGTGGGTACCTTGCTGTTAAAAAACAAGTTATGGGTAGGGGAAAAGGGGGGGGGATTATCTCACAAATTCATGAGCCGATTTTAATTTTTTTTTCACAAAAATTTTCTTTTTTCATGCTCTTTCATTTGATATGTCACAAGGGGTACCATGCTTTAAAAACATTAAGTTCCGGGGGGGGGGGGGGGAGGGGGAGAATATCTCACAAATTTATGAACCGATTTTCAATTTTTTTCATCAAACATTTTATTTTTTCATGCTCTTTTATTTGATATGTCACAAGGGGTACCTTGCTATTTAAAAAAAAAAAGTTGGGGGCAGGGGGAAAAGGGGGGGGAATGTGAATGTAACGTTGAATTCAAAAAAATTGTGCCCCCTACGTCAATAGATGATTCCCGCCAACTGCATATTTCTTCTGTATAATAGGCTAAGCCCTTTTTTGTTAATCGAACTCCTCCGTTATTATTCGCCCGATTTTGACGTTTGAGGTCTCAAAATAAAGGTTAAAACGTGTAGTTGTGGCCAACGGTATTAGATTTTTGATAAAGTCGTTGGTAAGGGCGTCAGAGGCCCTTAAAGTCAGTTTTTTCTCCATAAGGATAACATGGGAGATATTTTTTTATTTATAAAAACATATGTTTTTAGTTGAAAATAGTCAAAGTCTACTACATAAGAAATTGTTGTTTATTATGACTGTTAATGTATATTAAATTTTAATTATGTATTGGGTACCTTTAAGTGTAATGGATCATACAACTTTATTTTAATGCTGGGAATAGTGAAATTTAGTTGAGAATAAGTTACCATGATTTACAAAACTGTACTGTAATATTTAAAATCACAAATCTTTGACATTCATTAATTTGAAACGAAACAGCTGATCTACCAGACAATTATACATCAAAACAAAACAAATCCTCTGTGACTACTACTTCATGTTTGTTGCTATATAATTTTTTTATTTTTTTTTGTGTGTACCTATCTTTAAAAAATGGGACCCCAGAAGATTTGGTTGCACACTGTTCAGGTCTTGATCCAATAGCCTATCCCTCGCTTTTCCCTTATGGAGATGAGGGTTGGTAACGAGGAATGCCACAAAATGCGGATCGGGCAACTACACTGACACTGACACAACTGCAGTTCGCGGCACACAAGCCTGATAGCCATATGTTTAGGTGTAGGTAGCTGTGGTAGTAAGGTTAAACTTCAATATATAGTTGACATTTTTACCAGAATTGAAGGTGAACGTCTCGGTTTCATTCATAGGGAAGAGTCAAAACTTTGAGCAGAGCTATATATGAACCTTCATGACGCAAATACGTGCACGAGAATAAAATTAAAGTGTCCAAATAGGCTAAAGCTGATGGATTCCCTATTTTGCTAGCAAGATTGCTTGGAGTTGGATGCCCTGTTGATTTCATCTACCAAAACGTCGTTGAAAGTATACAAAATGCTCAAATGAAAGACAAAGCCATTTTAGCGCCAAATAAAAGTGAATGTGATTTGATTGACAACAAAGTCTTGGGTAAATTGCCACGTGAGCCCAAGGTGTACGAAAGCATTGATAGTTTGCTTGCAGATAATTTAAATGCCCATCTAGAATGCCCAACAGAGTTTTTAAACAATACAGAGGCCAGTGGATTGCTAAGACATAGATTGATTTAAGAAAGGGGGCAGTGGTTTTATTGATGAGGAATATCAATACTCCAAAGGTCCTCATTAATGGAACAAGGCTCCCCTCCAAGTGAACAAAATGGGTAACAATTTAATGGAATGTAAAGTCCTAACTGGAACAAGTGAGGAGGGACATATTTTGATTCCGAGAAAAGAATGTGCCCGTCGGAAACAAACTTACCATTTAAAATGGAAAGATGCCAATTTTCGTTAGCTTTATCATTTGCAATGATACCTAATCAATAAAGCAAATGGGCTATCACTTAAAAGAGTAGTAGCACTGTTCTTACCCAGACCAGTTTTCAGTCATTGGCAACTATATGTTGCTTTAAGTATGGCTACATATTTTGATGGTGTACCCATATACCCATATTCATCACGTAAAATTCTGACCAGGGTAATTTTCCTGAAGGTGATTTCACGACTAAAACACTTAGTAAGTTATTCAAGGAAGTACTTTTGTGAATAAAATAGGATATAATGGATGGACTACTTTCCTTCTAAGGCTTCGTTCATTACCGTATTTTATTTTCGACTTAAAGAGTCAATATATAACACGATGGATTTGTTTTGTAAATCATAAATGTTATTTTGCGGCGCGTTGAGCCGTACCGGTACGGCTTCACTAGTGTTTGTTATTAGATTCATGACCAATTTCTCTTGTACAACATTTAGTAATGAATACGGTCGTTCATAGCCTATAGTTTATAACAGTTTATTTTGGTTTTTAAATAAAATACAAGTATTTAAGAACTTAAAAGCAAATCAAGTTTTATCACAAATAAAATAATTTTGACACAAAAGTACAAAAGGTTCTATTTAACTATATTAAATTGGTAGTCTACAATGTTCGAAATAAATTACGTAAAATTTATACACGTGTATAATTTTAATGCTTGAATAATTCATAAAAGTAAATGACAAAGCAATGCTTCTAAAAAAATCTGCATGTTTATGTATATATATATAAACTAGAAGTAAGTGGTTGATCGTACAGAACCAAACAGAAAAAGTAAATGAATAACAAAACTACTAATTTATGTAATATGTAAACTCAAAATGTGATATCTAAGACAATAAAAAAATCATATTTTTGTTTCAAATTACTGTACAAGAATGGGCAGATTTTTGTCTGCTGTGCTTTTTAGGATTTGACAGGAGAAAATATTTGTATATTAGCTAGTACAGCATATTTTTTTCTCTAGCCCAGGACCACATTAGTACGATTTTAGTAATTAAAACCTTAACCTATTGTTTTAACTGATCAATAATTTAACTCTTTCGGATGAATGTCTAATTTTCAATTAATATACCGTACCAGGGGATCGAGCTTTGCTATTTTTGCTATTTAAAATCTGCTATCAAATACATCTAAAAACAGATAAAGAGTTAAAGTTAAGCGAGTATTCCGTTTTACTCTCTCATAAATGTCACTACTCGACATTGGCCTAATTCTAATTTGTCATTCATCTTTGTAGTATAATATGCTCAATAGTATGATTTCTGATTATTCTTTTCTCTTTGTCTGTATAAACATAATGTTACAATCATGTTAACGATCGTGATTCATGAAATAAAAATGATCAGTCGACCGTAATGGTGGAATACATTTTTTGAAAGTTGCCATGGCAAAAATAGGGGTTTCCTGGCTATACCACTGGTCTAGAACTTATTTTTTACCCATAATAAGTCATACCGTAAGTATAAACATGTTTCTTTGTGCCGATAATGCCGAGATCGAAGTGACGAATATTCAAACTTTACTCATATTAATATGGGATGGGATAGGATAAACGTGACAAATAATTCGCTCGTACTCATCTCTTATAGTCCGGTTTATCCCGTTGATTTATCCGAGCCAAAATGAAGTTCTAAAGCAGCACGCCGACGTGTTTAGAGAAATTTCCTAAGTCATAAGTAGTTTATTCAGCAAAATTAACATAAAATGCATTAGCTACGTCAAAAACACAATGAAATATTTACATAAACTAAACAAAAACCTCTTATCTAAATTAAAACTTTCAACTATGCTACTGTATTTACACTACCAGTTCTATGGCAAAGAAACTCACTGAACGCTGCAGAAGGCATTATCCAGCAAAAAAATCTTTGTCTTTTCTGATATCTATTTAAATCCTGTTCGGTCTTTAGGGAAGGAGGAAGGTTTTAAAAAGTTTGACGGCATTGTATTGAAAATTCTTTTGGAATAATTGACGTTGAGTGATTAGGAATTGCAAGGTCGGAATAATAACAAAATGGACCATTTCTTTATTTTTCCGACCTTGATGGATATCTGTTGTTGAGATGTGAACAAAAAGAAGATATATTTCTAGTGAAAGAAAAATATTTCAAAAATGTATATGGATTTTATACATACAATTTAACATTGAAGTAATGTGTTATTGTTACTCATAATTAATTACCATTCACTACACATAGGCTACAATCAATGCAGCTACCATTTATGTGGGTACTAAACGAAACTATATGTTTATTTGTTTCCAACGACCGCAAAAAAGTACCTAGAGTGTGAGGTTTAATCTGATGTTGGTGATACAGGTACATACCTAAGAGTGTTCCGAGCTGGATGGACGCCATTTCTGTGGCTGCGCGGCTGTGGGGCACCGGTTTTATCAGTTCACGGGGAAAGGGGGGATAACGCTGACAGGTCGCAGAAAGGTCAGGGGGGGACAATGCAATTTGCAGAGATTGCATAACGACCACTACCCGTGTCAGCTGTTAGGATGCGAGATGCGACGCACTTCGTACTTATCGTTGAGTGTGTGCTTGTGCATAATGTTAAGCGGACGATGTTTAGCTGTAGCATTTTCCAGCCCACACACAATATAAGGGTCAACCTGTCAATGGTAGTATTTATCCGACGATGTAGTTGTAGCTTTCCTATTCCTGGTTTGAATGTAGGAGTCAACTGACAAGCGGTAGTATTCACTTGACGATGTAGTTGTAGTTTTTTTAATAGCAATGCATGGGTCAACTGACAAGCTGGGAGTGTTCACCCAACGATGATAGATATTTAAAGTTTTTGCAGATTTTTTGTTCCATGTAAGACATAAGGTTCCTTTTAGAAACTGAAGTACTCTCTCGGCAATGATGTAGATTAGGGTTTCCCTGTCGGGCGTAGCAGCCACACGGCGTCATCAGTTCACTCGGTTGCCTTGGGATACTAGACTAATCTACAACATTGGCTTGTGTTTACAATTACAAGCTACTTTACGTTTACACAAAGCACCTTAGCTGCTGGGGTTGCGTAATCTCCCTCTGGACTGTATATTCAATTAGTAAATGATATACATGGTAAATAGTGTAGCCTAAACCATCAATTACTTATTAATCCAATAATTTATGTATTTCGCCTGATAGATACTGTTGATGACAAACTGTGTTTTAAGAAGTGTTTATGTCTGTAATTGTAGTATTATGAAAGTCAACCTTTTGATCGGGAAAAATAAATAACGCTTGGAAAGTTCGGCGATTTTCTTAAAATTTATGTAGCCCTACAAATAGTCAAATATTACAAAACATCAGAAAAACGCCGTGTGAATAATTTAACATGCTCAGCAACGAAACAAGTAAGTTCCGATTCCCAATCCTTAGAACCGCTATCCAACCAGATGTGATCCCAGGTCTGCTGCGACCTATCAAACATAGAACCGATGGAGGAGCGTCATTATCAGCCTTATTGTCAATCTGAACTCAGTTTAAACATGGACTAATCTTTCTAGTAGCTGATCATCTTTTCTGGTAACTGATATGAGCGTTATCAGAAAAATGCGGGATGTCTGGCAACTATTTGCTAAACTTCATTTTTACCGTATTGTTGACCAAGAACTTAACAGCCTACCGTCGCTCTGTAATGTTATTGATAATGAATTTGTGGTATAGTGTAGCTAAAAGTTCAGCGAATTCCATTTGCTGTGGTTAGCATAAATAAGGGAATAACGATTCAAGTGATTAATATTAGCTCGATCAACTATTGAAAATAGTTACTGTAACTATTTGATAAGACAAAAGCTGCAAACTATATTCACAGTCGCAGTATAAAATTCCATCGCAAATATTAGTTATAAAGTATATAGAGTGAGGCAGTAAAACGGCACGATTTTTAAAAATCACTAATAATTAATTTAGAAAAAAAGAAGTACATGAGTGGAAATTAATGTTTTATCTTAAAAATATTTTTTTATACATTGTCAGTAAAATTGCGTATGCCTACTTGGTTTTGCACACATTGTTGAATTATGAATTTAAATCAGCCCATGAAGTTTTTTAGCGTTTGCATAACGTCTGCAATCGTTTTATAGCGTTTTGTCGTGCTAGCAGTGGCTTGTTTACCCAAAGGAGGATTGATGGTAGGGAGCCCGTGGCGATAGACTGGACTCACAACGGAAAGTACGCTGAGCACAAAGGGACCGCGTCTCGTTGTCCCTCCGTCTAGTTGTACCTACGTCTACTTGTACCTCGAACCCTAGGGACAACTAGTCGTAGGTACAACTAGACGTAGGTACAAGTAGACGTAGGTACAACTAGACGTGTATCCCACCGACAAGTAGTATCACCTAGCTTGTACGGATGCGACCAGTTGTCCCTACGACTATTAGTCCCTACGACTAGTGGTCCCTCCGTCTAGTGGTCCCTACGTCTAGTTGTACCTACGACTAGTTGTACCTACGCGTATTTTGCGTCCTTATAGTCTAGTTGTATCTATCCTTCAATTCGTTACCCTGTTTAGTTGATTACTGCACGAGTACTTTTTAATAATACCTTTAATTAAATCAGGACTGCAGTGTTCCGAGTCAATTGAGTATGATTTGCAAATATTTTTAACCGCACTACAATGTTTTAGTAGTTTTACAGACGTTAATTGGAGGCTGAAAGCTACGCATTGCTGTCCAGGGTTGAAATGGCAGCTATAGTTGTAATTACAATTTTCCAGCCCTAGTACCGAAAATCGCTTATTTAATTAAAACATTTATATACCATTAAATATACAAGCAGTATATCCTTAGAATTGCAATAGACCGCTGCCTAGCAATTGTGTATTACTATTTTTGCTGATTCCTTTAAATATTTTTTCACATAACCTTAATGTATTTGCATTGATTAGTGTGCATTTCTTATAATTTACAATGGATTTCCCAGTGAACAATGCACAATGAAGTGTACAATGAAGTTGAGGTCCAGCGGTTGAAAACTCGGCAAAAACTATGCAATGTACAGACTACTCTATTTAACATACACTGTAAATAATACATGTGATTGGAATATTTTTCATTTGTTTTGATTTTATTTTCATAATTAGTTGTTATTTCGTCACCAGCATGGCAACCCGTCAAACCCACGTTAGTTTTTAAAAATTTGTAATTCTTTTTTTTATGTCTTTTTAGCCTATTTTAATTTATAAAGACATTCTGTGGAAAATACATTTCCACCGATATGTGGATATTTTCTCTGTGATGTTCACCATCTGATAAAAAGGTTGTAAAGAAACATGCTTGCCTATATTGTCAATACTAGCTGTTGTACCCGTGCTTTGTAACGGGAAGAGAACACGAAATAGAAATATTTTGATCAAACCATAATATCCACGTTTTTGTAAAATGCCTTTACAGCAAACGCGTGTTGTGCACTCGTCCAACGCTTACTTACGGCCCAACGCTAAAGCAATTCAGTAGTCTCATGGTTACTGAAATTTCCACTTGTCTAGACGCCTATGGTCATTTCCCCTAAACTCTTAGGGGTCCCCCAATTAATTGTCAGCTGGTATCGGAATCGTGCTTTACTGCCTCACCCTGCATATTCATGTTTTCCCTCGGACTTTACCGGGATACGATGGATATCCTTGGGATGTCTAAATCTATCATATTTATATTGGCAATACATAATACATCCTCACGATATTTTATGTCCCCGTCATCCCGTGCGTGGGTAGGATTCATATACCCATGCAAGGTACTTAAGTTTAAATCAATAATACGTAAGCACGTAAGTTTTGTGTTTAAAGTTAAAAGTTAGATTAAATAATGGTAAAAACCTAGCTTCTAAATAAAATAACATTACGATATCAATATTACAGATCTATATTTTGTCTAGGGGTAATAAATTGAATGTCCCCGCGATCATGTAGGATATTGTGGATAGCCATGTGATATCCCATAATCTCCCAGTAAATCTAGGGTCCTTTAGAAACACCGGTATGTTATATCCCAGAGATCTTCACGACATCCTACTATTTCCCAGGATTTGAAAAGTTTATGTAAGACTCAAACGCATATCGAAGGGACGCCGTATGTAATTTGGTCCGAGTTCCAAGACAAAATACTAAAGAAGACCGAGAGAAACAACGAGTGAAACAAGATATAAGGCTGTCATAATGATGGCATTTTGGTGAAGACAGATTGAGTGGTGCGATTGTAGCTCAATTCGCGATCAATTAGCCAATTTTGGCGGGGGTCCAGCGCAGATTGGCGGGAGTGGATAAGTGACCTGTATGACAGAGGGGAGACGCCGCGTAACAGGAGGGTAAAACACGACATGGATTGAAAACTAAGTTACTCACATACAAGTGGAGGAGGATTGAGCTAAAAACAACGCGTAAAAATGAAATCTGACCTGCTCAGAACCAAGTGGTTTCACACAAAAAATGTAATACCACGAGTTAAATTTACTTTAACTTATCCACGATTTGCGCAATAAGTCTGTGGATTGGATAAAACATTGAATGATCGGTTAATCATCAGTTGACCAATAGGCCCCTGAATATATGGTTTGACCTAGAAATAATTATAACACAGATGAAACTATTGTTGTTCGATAGTGAAAAGTATTGTGAATAACATATCAAAAGTCTCCAAAAATATCTTTGGTGGAACACCACCATTTTTCCAAAATAGCGGCCAAATCCACTAGTTTTTTGCTTTTTATTGAAATTCTGACTTTCCAGTCAATATTGGCGAAAAGTCGTCAATACATTTAATGTTCCTCCTAAAATTACCTTTAAAATGATACCAAATACATGTACCTACAACAAAAAATAAACCCCGTAGAAATAATAAAACATTTCAAATAAAAATATTTGTTATAAATTAATGTAATAGTCCATAAGCAAACTAAAAATAACGTACACAGGGGTCGTATAAAAATTTGCAAGTAAACATTTTATGGTTTTATTTTTATTGTTGTGGTGTGCAGAGTGACATACCAAAAGTTGCAAAAAATCAGTCCACCGGAAACCCCTAAATTAAGGAAAAAATGGCGGCTTATCCCAATATTGGACAAATTTTGCAAAAAAAAAGATATCAAATGTTTTTTGCACATTTTTCGAGATATTGACTTGGAACCACGACCGAAATTTTTTTGGATGGTCCGTACTTAATTTCAATAGGGGACGCTTTTTGGGCCACCATCTTGGATCAGCCATATTGGATCTGCCATATTGGATATAAATATTTTTAAATGTAATTATAGTGTTGTGACACAACATTATGAACTAGATTTCCACGCTGATTTCAATGCTGAAATCCGTTTTTAAATAGGTTTTTTCGTTGCTTAAGATATATTAAAACGAAAACTCTTCCCTATACATCACTTATGGACGTATCGTACTTTGAAAATGTGTTTGGATTATTCTTCTCCAGGTATTATTAATGCTTGCAGTTCGTTCTAGCCTTAAAATATTCAGTGATTAAAGAGCTGTCATTTTAGTTAGCTTT